ATGTACCTCTCTTGGGATAGCCATAGCAACTTCTTTGATCTGTTGAATCTTTCTAGCACCTTCTCAATGTACCTCTCTTGGGATAGCCATAGCAACTTCTTTGATCTATGATGAGTGATCCCCATCCCAAGGATTTGTCTAGCTGGTCCCAAATCTTTCATGGCAAAGCTCTTGCTTAGATCTTTCTTCAAAACAGCTATTTTTATGCGATCTTGTCCAACAATCAACATATCATCAACATAGAGTAGAAGTATGAGAAAGTCTCCACCTGTTTATGCGATCTTGTCCAACAATCAACATATCATCAACATAGAGTAGAAGTATGAGAAAGTCTCCACCTGCATACCTCTTTATGAAGACACAATGATCGATCATCAACATAGAGTAGAAGTATGAGAAAGTCTCCACCTGCATACCTCTTTATGAAGACACAATGATCGCTCTCTGTCCTTTTGAAATCATGTTTTGCCATGAAAGAGTCGAACTTCTTGTACCATTACCTAGGTGCTTGCTTAAGACTATATAGACTCTTCATTAGGCGGCACACCAAATTTTCTTTGCCTGGAACTTTGAACCCCTCAGGCTGCTCCATGTATATCTCTGCCTCTAGATCACCATGAAGGAATGTTGTCTTGACATCGAGCTGCTCGATCTCCAAGTCTTGCACTGCTAATAGGCCAAGAACAACTCGGATGGATGACATCTTTACCACTAGAGAGAATATTTCTTCAAAGTCAATACCTTTCTCTTGACCGAATCTTTTTACGACCAACTAAGCTTTGTAGCGGGGCTTTGAGCTACTGTCTTCGGTCTTGATTCGATACACCCACTTATTCCTCAAGGCTCAGCTCCCTTTTGGTAGCTCCACTAGTTCATAAGTGTTATTCTCGTGCAAGGATTGTATCTCCTCTTGCATGGCTCTTATCCACTCCACTTTATGACTATCAGTTATGACCTCCTTATAACTTTGAGGCTCCCCCTTATCGGTGAGCATCGCAAACTCCTCTGTGCTATATCGGGAAGATGGCCTTTGGTCCCTTGAAGATCGTCTTAACTGGAGCGCTAGTGGAGAGCTAGACTGAGGTTCTTCCTGAATTGGCTCATCATGAGACTCCTGGTTGTTTTGCTCTAGGATAGACTCATGATCTTCAACATCATTATTTTCAGGTGTGGCATTATCCTCACGTCGGAACGGTGTAAGGTCTGCACTCTTGGTGCTTCTCAATCTTGGCCTCTCCGATTTATGGATGTCTTCAATTGTTTGGTCTTCGAAGAATACAACGTCTCGGCTTCGGACGACCTTCTTGTTGATTGGATCCCAAAGTCGGTACCCGAACTCATCCTTAGGAGAACGAAGATAGATGCATTCCTTAGTTTTTGCATCAAGCTTGGGTCGCTCGTCTTTGGGGATGTGAACAAATGCCCTGCATCTAAACACCTTGAGATAGTTTTAAGAAGCCCTTTTGCCTGACCAAACCTCCTCTGGGATGTCTCTGTCCAAAGGAACTGATGGTGTGAGGTTGACTATGTCAACAACGGTCATCACAGCTTCTCCCCAGAATGATTTGGGCAACTTGGCATGAGAGAGTACACATCGAACTCTTTCTTCAATAGTTTCCCTCAGCTAGTCTATTCAACTGTGGTGTCTTGGGTGGAGTCTTCTCCAGCCATCACATATTTCTTGCAATAGGCTTCGAAAGGATCTCTATACTCACCTCCATCTGATCGAACACACTTGATATTCCGTCCTGTCTCACGTTCCACTTGGGCATGGAACTCCTTGAATGCATCAAGTACTTGATCATTTGATTTTAACAGGTATAACTACACCTTCTTTGAATGGTCATCGATGAAGGTGACAAAATGCAATGCTCCACCAATGGATTTCTCAGACATCGAGCACACATCGGTGTGTACGAGGTCTAGAATGTTCTTTCTCTTTGTGGGTGGGGAGGATCTTTGGAAAGCAACTCTATGTTATTTTCCAGCCAAACAATCAACACATAGGTCAAGTGATTTACTTTTTTATGTCAAAGAGGAGTTTCTTTTGAGCGAGCATGTGAAGGCCTTTCTCTCTAATGTGGCCAAGTCGTTTATGCCATATCTTCATATCACCGATGGTGGTATTTACCTCCTCTTTACAGAGTTTAGCTTGCATCACGTACAATGATCCTTCCTTCTTTCCTTGAGCCATGATTAAACTTTCTTTGGTCAGCTTTCACTTTCCTTCACCAAAATAATTCACCAGACCAGCATCATCTAGCTTTCTAGCAGAGATAAGATTAAGGCGCATGGCTGAGACATGCCTCACATCTTTTAGGACAAGCTTGGATCCAGTGCTTGTTGTCAGGATGATGTCTCCTATCCCGATAATTTTGCTCCTATCTTGATTTCCAATTTACACATTACCAAAGTCACCATTTTGGTAGGATGAGAAGAAACTTCCATGGAGAGTGACATGGAAGGAAGCACCAGAACCAATAATCCAACAACTATCATCATAAGAAATGTTTAGGATATTACCTTCTCCAACGAGATAAAGCAGTTCTTCTTTTGCAGCCACGACAGTAGTGTTCTTCTCTCCTTGCTTCTTCGTTGGGTTGATTCGGTCTGGCTTAACATTACCGGCCTTTTGATCTCTCTTGAAGGATCGACACTCTACTTTCTTGTGGCCTATCCTTCAAAGTAGTAGCATGTAATCTTTGAGCGTGACTTGGACCGACCTCGAGATTGGTGTGGATCTCGACTCTTGCTACGTCCACGACCTTCATTCTTATCCCGGTTCTCAACAACATTTGTCTCGGGATGGACAGACTCGCCTCGTTCCATTCTCCTTGCTTCTTCACCGAGAAGGCTATCACTGACGGGATCCGTGGTGAGCTTTCCTTCCGGAGCTGAGTTACTAAGTGTAACCACAAGAGTGTCCCAACTTTCTGTTAGGGAACTAAGGAGTAGAAGGGCTTGCAACTCATCATCAATCTTCATGTCAATTTTTGTTAGTTTGTTTACGAGCCCCTTGAAATTATTCAAGTGCTCAATCATACTTTGACTATCCTTATACTCCAACTTCACCAACCATCGAACTAAATGGGTTTTATTATGAGGCGTTTTCTTTTGAATCATAGACTCAAGCTTTATCCATAATTCATAAGCATTTGTATAAGTAGAAACATGTTCAAAGAGAGTTTTATCAATATACTTACGAATCATAGCAACGACCTTCGATTTAGACCTTCGATTTAGCAGCTTCCACTCTGCATCGCTCTTTCCTTCTACCTTGGTTTTGTGGATGATGGGCTCATGTAAATCCTTACAGTATAGATGGTCCTCCATCATTGGCTTTCGGTATAAGTAGTTGTTGACCGTGAGCTTGAACATGTCTCCATCGTGAGTGACGTTATCCTCCATCTTGAACTTCACGAGCTAACGATGACTTCGGACAAACCTGGCTCTGATACCACTATTGGGAAAACTCAATTTTTCTCGCCTCGTGAAGTTAAGATAGACACTTATAAATTAAGATAGTAATGGGAGCACAAGAGTTTATAGTTCTCTAATATGGAGGTTCTTCCACTATACAAAAGAATAGTAGGATTATAAGAATTTATATTTTACAAAACTATCTCACTTCGGTGGCTCACTCGAACTTGAGAATTAGGACTCTCAAGCTATCCCACTTCTCTCTCAAAAAGGCTCTCTAACTCTATTAGAGATTTTCTCTCACTCTAGGAAGTGGGTTATTTTCTTATCTTGGATGGATAGGAATGAAGGCTTCCACCCCTATTTATACTACTTCACCTTCATAATGAGTGGTGGGGATTAATTTGACCCAAGGGTAGAGATTAGCTCTCTAGAATTCTCCACACATATCTTTACTTTCTAGAGATTTCTAAGGAATCTCTACACTCCTCCATTCTATTCCATACTCTTCTGGACTGTTCCAGAAGGCTCCACATATCTCTAGAATATTCTAGAGGATTCCACATGCTTCTAGAGAATTCTATACTTCTCTAGAGTTCTCCAAAAAGTTATAGAATTTTTTAGAATCTTCTCAATTAAGGAGTGATCACAACACATTGTAGATTTGGGATACTAGATCTGAACACTTCTAAGAACCATTATCGGCTTACCTCAGAAACGCTTATCGTATATCATTTGCTTTAAGTTCTAGTAATTTCTTTTTTTTTTGGTCAATGAAAAATATGTATTCATTTACCAATTTGGAAAAATTAGTACATCAGTTCATTCCAGCTTTGCTGGAAGTAACAAAGAAAGAGAAAAATTTACATATGCTCTATTTTTTCTTTTATATAGACATGAATGTCATCATTTAGAATTTTTGATAGAATAGTAATCTTCACTGATCTAAATACAATTTCAGGCCCTCTTGCAATGGATTGGAAGATCCTCCGATTTCTCTCCTGCCATATAGCATACACTGAAGTAGACAAAGCCATTCTCTTAAGCTTCTTCATAAATCCCTCACCCTTTAACCTCAAGGTATACCAATCAACAACATTGTCCCAGGTACAAGATCGCCATTTGTAATTCAGCCAGTCCATGACTCTATTCCATATGAATACTGAATAATCACATTCAAAAAATAGATGTTTGCAAGTTTCCGGCTGCTGATGAGAACATAGGACGCAGGTGTTTGTGTCAAGCACCCTCATGCGACACAGTCTTTCTTGAGTTAACAATCTTTGATGGATGACAAGCCATAGGATAAAAGAATTCTAGTAATTTCATTACTCTGCAAATGTTGGGAACTTGATGCTCGATGTGAACAAAAAAGTTTGGAACTTGCAAATATAACTGGAACGATTTTATTTCAGGTTGTTTGGTACCCAATATGGTTGATGCAGAGCGCCCTTTCCACTGGAAAGCTATGTGCACGGACCTGACAACTTGTCATCGTGCCTGGACCAGGGCCACTGCTTCTAAAGTCCAGCTCAGCTTCAGATTCTTGCAACCACCACCCCGTTAAATAAAAACCAAAGTGACAAAAAGTGATGAACAATGACAACATTATCAATCCAAATATACTTAATTTCATACAGCAGAACACAGAGACACAAACCAGCACATCAATTTCACTCATCACCCTCTCAATCAAAATAATATGATCGCAAGCTATTATTGAAAGAAAGAAACACCAACGCGCATCAACTTTAGCTTCCCTGGTCCAGATCTTCTTGATCCTCATAGTCACCCTCATCGTCTGCGGTTGCATCCTGGTACTGCTGGTACTCGGAAACCAAATCATTCATGTTGCTCTCGGCCTCGGTAAATTCCATCTCATCCATCCCCTCCCCGGTGTACCAATGCAAGAAAGCCTTCCTCCTGAACATGGCGGTGAACTGTTCGCTTACGCGCCTAAACATTTCTTGGATGGACGTCGAGTTGCCAACGAATGTCGACGCCATCGGCAGTCCTTTAGGTGGTATGTCACAGACGCTGGACTTAACATTGTTGGGTATCCACTCGACGAAATATGACGAGTTCTTGTTCTGCACATTGATCATCTGCTCGTCGACTTCTTTCGTGCTCATCTTGCCGCGGAACATGGCGGAGGCGGTAAGGTAGCGACCGTGTCGAGGGTCAGCAGCGCACATCATGTTCTTAGCGTCCCACATCTGTTGTGTCAGTTCGGGGACGGTTAAGGACCGATATTGTTGTGATCCGCGGGAGGTCAAGGGAGCAAATCCAACCATAAAGAAGTGGAGACGAGGGAAGGGGATCAGATTGACCGCAAGCTTTCGTAGATCGGAGTTCAGCTGTCCTGGGAATCGAAGGCAGCAAGTGACTCCGCTCATTGTTGCGGATATTAGATGGTTCAGGTCCCCAACTGTAGGCAAAAAAAAAGGTATCAGAATTCAGGTTTCGGACACAAGTCATAAGTTAGGCTTGTGGGTACAAAACTTACAGCTAGGTGTGGTGAGCTTGAGAGTTCTGAAACATATGTCATAGAGTGCTTCATTGTCAAGGACCATGCACTCGTCTGCATTCTCGACGAGCTGGTGAACAGAGAGGGTTGCATTATAGGGCTCGACGACAGTGTCTGAGACCTTAGGGGATGGGAAAACCGAGAAAGTGAGCATCATGCGATCGGGGTATTCTTCCCTGATCTTTGAAATAAGAAGAGTGCCCATGCCTGATCCAGTTCCCCCACCAAGGGAATGACACACTTGAAACCCTACAAGAAAAAACAATCAAGAAGCCAAATTAGCACAAACTCAATCATACCCGAGAAAAAGAAAAGATGAAAGAAGAACGATGGAGTACCTTGTAAGCAGTCACAGTTCTCAGCCTCCTTGCGAACTATATCAAGAACAGAGTCAATAAGCTCAGCTCCTTCAGTGTAGTGACCCTTAGCCCAGTTATTTCCGGCACCGGACTGGCCAAAAACAAAGTTGTCCGGACGAAAAATTTGGCCATAGGGGCCAGTTCGAACGCTGTCCATGGTGCCGGGCTCAAGATCCATGAGCACCGCACGGGGAACAAATCTGCCACAGCTAGCCTCATTGTAGTAAACATTCACCCTCTCCAACTGCAACTGAGAGTTACCGACGTATCGACCTGTAGGATCGATTCCGTGCTCGTCGCAGACCACCTCCCAGAACTTGGAACCAATCTGGTTACCGCATTGGCCTCCTTGGATGTGAAGGATCTCCCTCATTCTCCCTCTCCCTCTTTGGTGTTGCTGGCTCTGCTTGCGTTTGTGCTGATGGGTAGCCTCTCGACATTTGTCCCACTTGGTTAAGAAATTGTTGTTGGGTTTCTGGTTTCATTTCTACCTTTGCCGGCATTGAGTGCATCCATCCCTTTCATGCAAGCAAGTATTTTCTACTAACTGCTGAGTGTGCAAATGTTATCATTCAACTGAACCATATGCCGGCCTTTGATTTGGTACTAGCAGTAACTCTATACTCCAATGTTGAGCTAATTAATTAACAGAGATCGATGGAAAGTGAAAAAAAAACAATATATAGTCTGGTTAAAGTCACTGGATTGGTTGTTTACTTGCCTTTTTTTCCCCCTCCATATATTATTGCATGAAGATGAGGTAGCCTAATGCCGGCTAGCTTTGATGTCATCGCCTTCAATAAGTACATATATTACGTTGCCTTATGTTTCTACTGATTGTTACTGATATGTTTTAAATGTACAACGGAAAGACCCTGCAAACGTTACCGATGAGAATGATGGTCGTGAAAACTTCGGGAAAAAAAAGGTTGCCTATTTGCAGTTTGTTCGTGAAAACGAACATTGTTGCTTGGTAGTGTGTATCAACTTGATCTTTAACCATTTGTCGTGGTTGTTTTGTTTTGTTTTTTTTAATATCATTATGCGCGCTTTAAAGAAAGCAGGTGCCTGTAGTTCAGTTCCTCGAATTGAAAGACTGTTTTCGTTTCTGAAAGGTTCCTCTTTCACAAGTATATCCGATTGTGCTGCTTGAAGAGGGAAACCTCTTCAATTGTTATAATTTTTTAGTCACAGAACCCCTGATGAAAGTTAAGTATTCTACATACATCATCAACGTGTTCCACATATAACATATGGTACAATATTATTTACCATGTGTATACTAGATGGTTGTTAAATCTCTAGTCTAATATTTGAACTATGCTAGAACTTTAGGATTCTTACGGTCTACATGAAACAAATTTGTCCAAAGTTTTGAACTGACCGTTATGATGTCCATTTGAACACTTGATGCAATGAACCCACAAGAGCAAGGACTGGCCTTTAATGATGATCTGGGATGCCTTCTTGACATTCTATCCAATAATTGCATTAATCAAATGGCTTATGGGTTGTCCACTGGCCTCTCTCATAGACAAATTCCCTTCAATATTATCTGATGAGTGACAGTTGGGCCCCAATTTTTTGTCCTTGATTGGTTCCTAAAAGAAAATTGAGTTGGGCCCTTGCATTCATTTAGGTGGACTGAAAGTCAATTATGGCTGCCGACGCAAAGCCAGAGCTAAAATGAGGCTTCAGCTGCTCTTTTCAGGATGCTGCTATTTCCTTGTCAGTTGGTGAAATGGATGCAATAGACTAGTTATCTTCCTCTGAATCATATTTTCCTGCGAATTATGAGAGGGAATGGCATAAGTCGAGTAAAGCTCTTGTAAACTTATGAGCCCTTTGTCCATTAACCTTATTCATTAATTTTGCTTTGAGATTTATAAAGCGAATACAGAAAAAATGGGCAGAAAACACGTTTGGATGCTTCACGGTTGATCGTGACTGGCGCGGCGGTCGACCGCAAACGTGCATAAGACATGGATTGTTTCTGGACTTTTGGCGGTCGACCGCGAGTGGTGCGGCGGTCGACCGAGGACCCTGTAACCGGTTTTCGTGGGTTTCTGTCTTCTGTCCGGTCGACCACAGCGTCATGTGCGCTCGACCACATAGCGGGTTTGGGCCTGATTGAGGTTTCCTATTCGCATTGGGTTTGTGATTTGATATAAATTAAAACACGATTTTCTAGGGTTACTTAACAGAGATTTTAGATTGTACTGAGCATATTGAGAGGAAGAACTTGTGAGGAAGTTGAGAGATTTGGTATAGGGTTTGTGTGAGTAATTTTGTGAGATTGTAACACTTTGTACTCTCCTTGATTTAGTGGAATCTCCCCATCCTCTTCCCGTGGACGTAGGCAAATTGTCGAACCACGTATATCTCTGTGTTTAGTTTGATTTGTCGTATTTGGATTGAATTGTGCTCGTGTGTGGTTGGTTCTCTTCTCCCGTGACCACAGATTCGTTCGGTGTGCGAGCACGCTTCCGCATAGGCGCACAACAATTTGGTATAAGAGTTCAGATTTCAGATCTAGGGTAGCATTAGGTGGAGGAAGATTCGTCGTGGAAACTTGGTTCTTAGAGTTCTAGGCTTCGGTGGAGATAGGGTTTGGAGTTTTCATTGAAGATCTCGATTTCCTCGTGTGGTTAGGAGTTCTATTTGGAATCGAATCTAGGGTTCACTTGGGTAATTCATCAATCCTTTCAAAGTTTGAATCTTTCTTTGCAATTTAGAGTTTGTGATTATGGGTGAAGAAGTTGGTGAAAACAGTAAGATGGTGGGTACAGTTCAAGTTGGGTTTCAGAATACTAAGATTAGTATGGTGAAGTATGACGGCAAGATCAATTTTGGTTTGTGGATGAGCGATGTTCAGAATACGCTCAATGCTCAGAATTTGAAGGAGACCATCATGGTCCATGAGAGGCCACAAAAATATGAAGAGACGATATGAGAAAAGATAAATATGAACGCTTGTGGGGTGATCAGGTCTTATTTGGAACATGAGCTGAAATATGATGTGATTGGGGTGACGTTAGCAATGAAGATGTGAAAAATTCTCAACAACAAGTGTTGATTGATGAGAACGCACATGTGTGGGGTCCACCATACGCACGAGTACCTTCCCAACCCAACTAAGAACGCGTTTTCCACCGCTGGATTTCGTGGGTGTGGATGCAATTGCGGCCCACGAACTGATTTGTTTCTCCGCTGCTATATATAAATCTTGTAAAGGTGCCCTAGGTGGGTGTGCAGGTGAAAAAGTGGGGACGAAAAAATTAGAGGCGGCTGTGCTTGGGTGTGCGAGGCAGAACAAAAGAAACGGCGTGCAAGGCCACGTTCCTTTTTGTTTGGGCGTGCAAGGGCAGAGGAAATTTTTTGTGTGCGGTCCTTTTGTGCTTTTGAGAGTGATAATTGTGTGAGAGGTTTGAGAGATTGTGTGAGGGGTTAGATTGAGTGATTGTAAACCCTAGTTATATTCTCTCCTCTAATAGTAGATCTCCCCCTCCTTGCCCCGTGGACGTAGGCAGTTTGCCGAACCACGTAAAATTTGTTTGTTTGAGTTTGTGGTCATTGTAATAGTTTTTAGGATCCCTCGACGCGCAGTCCTAGAGCTGACGAGAGGAAGAGCAAATATCCTACTTTGATGAGATATTAGGCTTTAGATTCTTGTTCCCTTTGAGAAACAAGAATTCTTATCGATCTTTCTCTCTTATTGTGCACCAGAAACTCTGCCAAAATTTCCGCTGCGCACAACAAGTGGTATCAGAGCCCAGGTTACGCTTGGGCTATTTGGAGGAGTAGATCAATTTGGAGGCTCGTCTAAGGCTTCGTTTGGTGATAAAGGTGTGATCTTTTGGTAAAGACTCTATCTTTCAGTTTTGGATCTATTCTTTGTTCGTTGGTGCGTAAGATGTCGGGGAAAGAAGGTGCTTCGGGTGTCGAGGGTGGTTCTTCTGGCGTGAAGACCATTCAGAGTTTGAATATCCACTCTATGAAGATAGATGTGGAAAAATTTAATGGCACAAACAACTTTGGATTATGAAGATGCGAGGTTTTGGATGCGCTGAACGCGCAGAATTTGGAGGATACCTTGGAGTTAGATGGCAAGCCAGATGAGATTGAAGAGAAGGTTTGAAAGAAGATGAATCGAACGGCGTGTGGTGTGATAAGGTCTTGTTTGACTCAAGATCTAAAATATGATGTGATGAATGAGACTTCTGCGAAGAAGATTTGGGAGATTCTTGAAAGCAAGTATTTGACCAAGAGTGTGTAAAATCGCTTGCATTTGAAGAGGAGACTTTATCGTTTTCAGTTGAAGAAGGGAACCTCAATTAGAGATCACATGAACACCTACACAAAGCTTCTTGCGGATTTGGCTAATGTGGATGTCATAATTGAAGATGAGGACAAGGCGTTGCTGTTGTTGAGTTCCTTGCCAGATGAGGAATATGAGACATTCGTCCTTACTCTGATTAATGAGAAGGCATATCTTTCGTATAGTGAGGTCACCGCTACACTTGTGAATTATCAGCTTCGAAAGAAGGATAAGGAGGCTTCAGTTGAGCCGGTAGCGGAGGCGTTGGTCGCAAGAGGGAAGGGTCCAAACCGAAAGAATTGGAAGTCACAGTCTAGAGTAGGAAAAGATCAGTGTGCTTGGTGCAAGGAGACTGGTCATTGGAATAAAGATTGCCCAAAGCTCGACGAATGGATGAAGAATAAGTAGAAGGGAAAAGGGAAGCAGCCATCATCAGAAGCAAACATCGTATCGGATGGTAATAATTCTGACTCTTCTATTTATTCGCTTTCTATCAGTCCTATAGATAGCTATTCGGAGGAATCTGAATGGATGTTGGATAGTAGTGCGACCTATCATGTGTGCCCTAGAAAGGAATGGTTCTCCAGTTTTGAGAAGCTGGTGGATAGTGGTGTGGTGTACATGGCTGATAACCGTATTTTCGTCAAAAGTTGATCTCGTTGTGGAATTCATTATATCTTCTTTCGATTACAACAAATTCAAAAGAGATAGCCTTTTTATAAGACTTTTTTTACACAACAAAATAAAAATTACAACTTTTTAGAAACAAACGCAGGATCGTTGTTTGGATCGCTGCTTGCGTAGGATCTTTGCTTGTGCCGGGAGCGCTTTGACTCGTGGACCACCAAATCACAGATTCTGATTGAATCGTGAGGGGTTTAATGATTCTTCCTTCGTTTATCGAAGTGAGAATTTGAAACGAGATCTTATCGAAGTAAGATAATCGTTCTTCTTGAGATTAAGTCAAAGCTTGAATCTCAAGGGATTGCCAGAAGCTCATGAACTCTGCTCTCTCTGCTCCAAAGTGCTCCAAAAATGATCAGCCCCCTCAAAAATCGATCTCAAGGGGTATTTATAGCCTCCATGAACAGTTACGCTCGCGAG